TAAAAAATCTTGTTAAATTAATAAGAAGGAATAAATTTAGGTTCGTGAAAATTTTAATGACTTTGCCCTTGAACAGTAAATGACCCTATGGATGTTTTGGTCACAGTGACACAAGTGTATAATCATCGTCCGTTTAATAACTTAAGAAGGACCGTGCTTATAGTTATGGTTTTAAGTTTATAAGGCCAAAGGTCAAGCTGACAGTGTCACCTTAGCGTATCAACAACGTGTTCTAACGCTAGTTGATTTGTTTTCTTCTTATCTTATAAATAATAATCAAAACCATGTCACTTCGAATTGACACGAATATATCTGATGCAATAGGAAAAAACAATTTGATTATGTAATAGTGTACATTAGATTTTATCCAACTTATTGCTTACATTTGGCATACAAATTATTTGATAAAGATTTAATTATGTCAGGTAAAATTTATGTTTGTTTCATATTCGTTTCATTTCTTGGCTACTATTAATTATTTAAAAAATAATCATGGATTGTTTTCCTTTTCAAAATTTTCCACAAACTATAACAAATAGCGTGATGTGATTTTGATTATTTTGGATGTTGGGTGTGAAAAACTGTGCATTCCTTATTCATACATGACATGAGTTTATAAACTTATTCAATAAGAGCTTATCGGCCTTTTCCGTCAATCTTCGGATAATTATGGTCCTCGAACACAAAACAATCAACTCTGAGATATTATTTGAATGAAGAATATGTAACCAGAATCTTATTATTTAAACATATCCTTGAACATAAAGAGGATATCGACTTAACTCCGAATAAACTGCTGCAGTACATGTACTGTATTTTACGCCTAACAATGACTTGCAGAATTTCAAGTGAATCCTTTCTATATCCTTAGATTTTGTAAAACCCCATATTGCACAAGAATAATTGAATGAGGAGGCAACAAATGCATCAAAGAGTTGCAGTGAAACGGAAGAGGTCACATCATATTTATTAATATAACGAAGTAAAACATTTTGGGCTTTCATAGCTTTTCCATTAGCATACTGATTATGTAGTTGAAAAGACCCCGTATAATTAAAGGCTACACCCAAATAGTTGAAGTTATCAACAGTCTCTAATAAAGTATTATCGTATGACCATTTTTCATTTCCCTCTTCCTAAAAACCATTGTTTTAATTTTATCTGTGTTGACCTCTAGGCCCCATTTATCACAATAAAGCTTTAAATTATTTAGATTCGATTGCAATTCTTCAATTGACTTTCCAAGTATGACCATATCGTCGGCAAACAGTAAAAGAATCAGACATATATCATAAAAAGTGAAACCCTTATCGTTATTATTATCATCATTCCTTAAGTATTGTTCTAGATCTTCCAGAAATAAAGCAAACAAAATCGGTGAATTATTTTGGCCCTGCCTTAGACCAATAGATATATCAAAAAAATCTGACAAAGTATTACAGTGCTTAACACAGGAAGACACCGAAGAGTACATATCTCTAAAAAACCTGATCAATTTACCATCTAGTCCAAGATTTAGTTAATACCAAAAAGCATTACAATGGATTAAATCGAAGGCTTTTTTATTGTCTATAAAACAACACCGGTAGGAAGTTAGCAGTAGCAGTGAGCAGTAGCAAATTTATAAAACGTGAAGTTGGCATTAGCAGTAGGATAGAAGTAGCAGTAGCAAATTTATAAAACGTGAAGTTGGCAGTAGCAGTAGTTCAGCAGTAGCAGTAGCAAAAAAATAAAACGTGAAGTTGGCAGAAGCAGTAGCTCAGCAGTAGCAGTAGCAAAATTATAAAACGTAAAGTTGGCAGTAGCAGTAGCTCAGCAGTAGCAGTTGCAAATTTATAAAACGTGCAGTTGGCAGTAGCAGGAGGACAGCAGTAGCAAAATTATAAAACGTGAAGTTGGCAGTAGCAGTAGCTCAGCAGTAGCAGTAGCAAAATTATAAAACGTGAAGCTGGCAGTAGCAGTAGCTCAGGAATAGCAGTAGCAAATTTATAAAACGTGAAATTGGCAGTAGCAGTAGGACAGCAGTAGCAGTAGCAAATTTATAAAACGTGAAGTTAGCAGTAGCAGTAAGACAGCAGTAGCAGTAGCAAATTTATAAAACGTGAAATTAGCAGTAGCAGTAGCTCAGCAATAGCAGTAGCAATTTATAAAACGTGAAGTTGGCAGTAGCAGTAGCTCAGCAGTAGCAGTAGCAAATTTATAAAACGTGAACTTGGCAGTAGCAGTAGCTCAGCAGTAGAAGTAGCAAATCTATAAAACGTGAAGTTGGCAGTAGCAGTCGCTCAGCAGTAGCAGTAGCAAATCTATAAAACGTGAAATTGGCAGTAGCTCAGCAGTAGTAGTAGCAAATTTATAAAACGAGAAGTTGGCCGTAGCAGTAGGACAGCAGTAGCAGTAGCAAAATTATAAAACGTGAAGTTGGCAGTAGCGGTAGCTCAGCAGTAGCAAATTTATAAAACGTGCAGTTGGCAGTAGCAGTAGCTCAGCAGTAGCAAATTTATAAAACGTGCAGTTGGCAGTAGCAGGAGGACAGCAGTAGCAAAATTATAAAACGTGAAGTTGGCAGTAGCAGTAGCTCAGCAATAGCAGTAGCAAATTTATAAAACGTGAAATTGGCAGTAGCAGTAGCTCAGCAGTAGCAGTAGCAAAATTATAAAACGTGAAGTTGGCAGTAGCAGTAGCTCAGCAATAGCAGTAGCAAATTTATAAAACGTGAAATTGGCAGTAGCAGTAGGACAGCAGTAGCAAATTTATAAAACGTGAAGTTAGCAGTAGCAGTAAGACAGCAGTAGCAGTAGCAAATTTATAAAACGTGAATTTAGCAGCAGCAGTAGCTCAGCAATAGCAGTAGTAATTTATAAAACGTGAAGTTGGCAGTAGCAGTAGCTCAGCAGTAGCAGTAGCAAATTTATAAAACGTGAAGTTGGCAGTAGCAGTAGCTCAGCAGTAGCAGTAGCAAACTATAAAACGTGAAGTTGGCAGTAGCAGTAGCTCAGCAGTAGCAGTAGCAAATCTATAAAACGTGAAATTGGCAGTAGCTCAGCAGTAGTAGTAGCAAATTTATAAAACGTGAAGTTGGCAGTAGCAGTAGGACAGCAGTAGCAGTAGCAAAATTATAAAACGTGAAGTTGGCAGTAGCGGTAGCTCAGCAGTAGCCAATTTATAAAACGTGCAGTTGGCAGTAGCAGTAGCTCAGCAGTAGCAGTAGCAAATTTATAAAACGTGAAGTTAGCAGTAGCAGTAGGACAGCAGTAGCAAAATTAGAATTTTGGGATAATATATAAACATATATATCCGTTCGCCACAAAACTTGTTAAAAAGCTACCTGTGCAATTTCATCCAAACTTAACAGGAATGATCAGTACCAAGTCTAGTTGTGCTTTCCATTTCCATGATTTTCATCACTTAATTTCGGAAACTTAACTTTAATATTTTGAAAAACATTATGTTCTTTGTGGACAGAAACTTTGAATTATAAAAAAATAAATTTCATAAAAAAGTATCTACGAATTGCCACAGAAATATAAATAAAAATAAGAATTTTAGAGGTAAAAATTAACTTATATTACAAAGTCTTACGTTTTCACCACAGGAACTTGAAATTCTATCAAATAACCAATATTAATTATAATATCCAAATATACCCCCTATATACTATAAATAGTATATAGGGGGTATATTTTGCATATTATTTTTAATAGTGATAGAATTTCAAGTTCCTGTGGTTTTCACTAAAAGGAATAAGAAGTTTCTACACGGACTATTGGAAACTGAAACACAATAACAGTTACTAGCATTTTAACAATTTTATGATTTACAAAACAGGAGTGCATATTAAATACATTTGTATTTGCTGTAAAGAACTAAAGATTGCAACTGTATTTAACTTTGTAAATATCTATTATCTCTTTGTTACAGGTGTGGTTTTGGAGTGTCCAGGAATTTCTTAAAATTTTACGTGTTTTTGAAGAGATAAAGCTATATGTATATGCTAGTGTTCATCCGTGCTTTATATCAATGATTTATATCAACAATAACAACAAATTTATTCAATATCCGCCATGAATTATATTGTCTTTCTGTATAATGTCAATATTTGAAACGCATTTTGATGTCCTCAGGTGGAGGGCTTATTGGTCAAAACCAGATTGTTGTTTGGTGGAAAAATTATTCTTATTTTTCGTGATTACATTTAAATGTATGTATAGTGTCATTTTTAACTTGTTTGATATGATATATCCCGATATTAGGACAGGGGATCGAACTTGCGGTGTCTGGCGCAACTTACTGTAAGGATCTGATATTCTAGCATAATTCTGAAATGTACTTACAACAGAACTTATAATGAAATCCAAGTGACATGGTGAAATCCTATAGCTTAGTCATATATGGTTGACTTCTACAAGATAAAAATTCACTTACCTGATTGATCTGAAGGAACCCTGTATTAACACTTATTGACTTTGCAATTTAAGCTGATAGAAATGTTAAACTTACCTTATTGTATAGCAGAAAACTGATTTTCTCTTTACATTTTCTGTGTAGCAGACGTCCAATGACAGACATCTTTGAAATCTGTCACTTCATATTTTATATTGAAGATTTCTTATTGCAAATATCAATTTTAGTCAAATTCAATTCAAGAACGTAATTTATGTAAAGTTTATGATTGATTAAGGTCAGAAATCCTTAAGTATTCACTACATGTTTCTGTATATTAATGATTTTCGTATGTAGATTTTATATGAGATTTCAATATGGCCGCCATTGAAATCCAAGATTTCAGATTCAGAAATCCGGCCGTCTGTCCATTGGAGGATTTCCGGATTTCTGTTGTTTTCATTGGTGGATTTCAAACATCGAACCTTATAAAAGTCGGAATCCAACCAATGTTGTCACTTCGGTCTTGACCTCCAAGTAATGTAAATGAAGTTTAAAACCGCCAAATTTCAAATACAGCAAACATTCTTTACAAACGACATTGTTATCCAAACTTATAAGTTGGTGTGTGATTACAGACTTGTGTGTGAGGTTTTGATTGTGGCGCAGTCAGTTGTTTGCCGAGAAGCCTTGAAAACTGTGTATTGCCCCCTTAAGAGCAAAATTTAATTTTTTGTGTGTGATTACAGACTTGTGTGTGAGGTTTTGATTTAGGCGCAGTCAGTTGTTTGCCGAGAAGCCTTGAAAACTGTGTATTGCCCCCTTACAATGGTGTCAGAAGTAGTGGGATAGTCTAAATCATTTACCATCCTATAAAACGGACCAGACTAGTGCATCTCATCCATCCATCCATAAGAAAAAACTAACATTTCAATTTGTGAAGAAAACTTTATTTGTAAGAAACATACAAATGAACTGACAACAACATTATTATAATCCTGGATTAAACTGAACTCTTATATCTATGACTAACAGTAATTAGAGATTTAAACAGAATTTACATTGGATTAACAAACATTATGGCAGACTCTTCAGATTCTGAAATAGAATTTTTTCAGAATATTAACAACAGAGCTTTGAATGGTGAAAGGCCGGGTGGTGGAGCGCCACACCTTCATATTGAAACTGAAAGAGCTGATTCACTATTGGACGAGTATGACACAAGTGATGAATAGCAGCTTGCAGGTCAGGACCGAAGTCCCCCTTCAAGGGGTAGACCATCGAAGTAGACGTAACACTATGACAGACATAATGGACTTTCCAGGAAAACGTTGCCAAAAGGACCAAATTTTAAACTTAAATCGTTTAGTGGCGATGAAAATTTTGAAGAATTCATAGATCATTTTGAAATAAATGCTGAATTAGGATGCTGGGACTTACGTAGCATGAATTTAGCCTTAAGGTCCTGTCTGACGGGAAGAGCCCAAGTTTTTATTTCAAGACTTCCTACTGACATTAAGTCAAGCTATCGCAGCCTGGTTGAGGCCTTGCGAAAAAGATTTACAAACAAGTATGATCAACCAGTGTGGGTATCTTCTCTGAAAGCAAGAAAACAAGGTTCAACAGAATCTATTGCGTCTTTTGCAGATGCTCTCTCCGTACTTGCATGCAAAGCATATTCTGATCTGAGTTACAATACACAGGAGCGAATGGCTTTAGATCAATTGTACAATAACCTGTGTCCTGAGCTTCAGTATAAGTGCATCGAAAAAAACTGTAGTACAATAGATCATGCTGTCAGCATTATACAAACATATGAAAGTGTTTTGGGTTAAAAGTAGCAAAACTCACATTCCCAACGCATCATTGACCAAGACTTTTAACGAAAAAATGTGAAAAGAACTGATATAGAAAATCAGAGACTTAATATTTTAGATGGTAATATCCAAAAATGGACAGGTACACATTCAGATAATTGTTCTGCTTTTTATGTTATTGTATCCGAAAAAGTACAAACATCAATGTGGGTTATTTTAGAGGTACCAAACAAAGACTTTATGTTGCCAGTTTTATTAATTTTAATCTAATTACAAAGACAATTCTCTTCAAATAGTAATTGGTGTTGCTGACTCGTCATGCACTCAAGTGAATGGAACAAACTATAGTAATCAAACAAAATAGTGACGTTGGAACTTGCACTTCAATAGGTGGCCTATATATATTTTTAGAATTGGAAAAGTAAGCATGGTAGCCTGTGAACCTAATACATGCATATCTCAGATGGGCAGAACAAAAGAAAGAATACCTACTATGCTAAAAGTGTATTAAGAATGACCATAGATAACAACACCTTTCACGGATGATAAAATTAATTTTGGAGGAATGGAAAGCGGGACACGGTAATGCTGGCCTGATCACCCAGGGATTACGATAAGATGACAATTGTGACTTCATTAGGATGATGTCACGTGTGTTAATGGCCATGAGAGTCTGGTCTTAACGTGTGTGATTCTATAATGTGAAGCTGCTGTATTCTATGGGAAACTTAATGACTGGTAGACATTGGGTTAGAAAAACAGTACCCAGAATAAGGAGACTATCAGAAATTTGTTCAATGCTTTAAAATGGACTAGGAGATATGTAGTATTCAATCTAAAGTAATTGTGTATGAATGTATGCTGTATGTTATAAATATACATATTAATTGCTTCCAAACAAACTGCTACCACGTGAGTATCATCCATCTAGGTTACTATTTGTAACATCTTTGAAGCTTAAAGAAATAGTCAAATCTTGGTAAGACACATATATGTATCAGCTTGAAGCAGCATCACACTCTAAAGAATTGAAGATATATTGAAACAATTGCTGATGTTAAAATTCGCATCTGAATAAAATCTTGACATTTCCACATCTGAAGAATCAACACCTAGGAATTGAATAAAATAATTAAGCATGACATAAAAACTACAATAAGACTGAGGACATTTACATTATCTGATTAAATAAACTTTTCATATACTATAATCACATAAAGTAATAATAATTACAGAACAGCAGAAGTTTTGGACAGTATAAAAAGTTCAGGTAATATCAGTCTTAAAGACTTAGGGAGGGGGTGTGTAAGGATCTGACATTCTAGCATAATTCTGAAATGTACTTACAACAGAACTTATAATGAAATCCAAGTGACATGGTGAAATCCTATAGCTTAGTCATATATGGTTGACTTCTACAAGATAAAGATTCACTTACCTGATTGATCTGAAGGAACCCTGTATTAACACTTATTGACTTTGCAATTTAAGCTGATAGAAATGTTAAACTTACCTTATTGTATAGCAGAAAACTGATTTTCTCTTTACATTTTCTGTGTAGCAGACGTCCAATGACAGACATCTTTGAAATCTGTCACTTCATATTTTATATTGAAGATTTCTTATTGCAAATATCAATTTTTAGTCAAATTCAATTCAAGAACGTAATTATGCCCTCATTTCGAAGAAAAGGGGGTATATTGCTTTGCACTTGTCGGTCCGTCGGTCCGTCGGTCCGTAGACCAAATGGTTTCCGAGTGATAACTAAAGAACCCTTAGGCCTAGGAACTTCAAACTTGGTATTGTGATTGGTCATGACCAGTAGATGACCCCTATTGATTTTGGGGTCAAGGGGTCAAAGGTCAAGGTCACATTGACCTTGTAAGCAAAAACGGTTTCCGATCAATAACTAAAGAACCTTAAGGCCTAGGAACTTCAAACTTGGTATGATATGATGATTGGTCATGATCAGTAGATGACCCCTATTGATTTTGGGGTCAAGGGGTGAAAGGTCAAGGTCACATTGACCTTGTAAGCAAAAACGGTTTCCGATCAATAACTAAAGAACTTTAAGGCCTAGGGACTTCAAACTTGGTATGGTGATTGGTCATGATCAGTAGATGACCCCTATTGATTTTGGGGTCAAGGGGTCAAAGGTCAAGGTCACATTGACCTCTTGGGTAAAAACGGTTTCTGATCAATAACAAAAGAACCCTTAGGCCTAGGAACTTCAAACTTGGTATGGTGATTGGTTATGACCAGCAGATGACCCCTATTGATTTTGGGGTTAAGGGGTCAAAGGTCAAGGTCACATTGACCTTGTAGGTAAAAACGGTTTCCGATCAATAACGAAAGAACCCTTAGGCCTAGAGACTTCAAACTTGATATGGTGATTGGTCATGATCAGTAGATGAGCCCTATTGATTTTGGGGTCAAGCGGTCAAAGGTCAAAGTCACATTGACCTCTTAGGTATAAACGGTTTCCGATCAATAACTAAAGAACCCTTAGGCCTAGGAACTTCAAACTTAGTATGGTGATTGGTCATGACCAGCAGATGACCCCTATTGATATTGGGGTTAAGGGGTCAAAGGGCAAGGTCACATTGACCTTGTAGGTAAAATGCTTTCCAATCAATAACTAAAGAACCCTTAGGCCTAGGAACTTCAAACTTGGTATGGTGATTGGGCATGACCAGCAGATGACCTATTGATTTTGGGGTCAAGGGGTCAAAGGTCAAGGTCACATTGACCTTGTAGGTAAAAACGGTTTCCGATCAATTAACTAAAAACGCTTAGGCCAAGGAACTTCAAACTTGGTATGGTGATTTGTCATGACCAGCAGATTACCCCTATTGATTTTGGGATCAAGGGGTCAAAGGTCAAGGTCACATTGACATTGTAAGTAAAAACGGTTTCTGATCAATAACTAAAGAACGCTTCGGCCTAGGAACTTCAAACTTGGCATGGTGATTGGTCATGACCAGCAGATGACCCCTATTGATTTTGGGGTCAAAGGTCAAGGTCACATTGACCTTGTATGTTAAAACGGTTTCCGATCAATAACTAAAGAACCCTTAGGCCTAGGAACTTCAAACTTGGTATGGTGATTGGTCATGACCAGCAGATGACCTATTGATTTTGGGGTCAAGGGGTCAAAGGTCAAGGTCACATTGACCTTGTAGGTAAAAACGGTTTCCGATCAATTAACTAAAAACGCTTAGGCATAGGAACTTCAAACTTTGTATGATGATTGATCGTGACCAGCAGATGACCCCTATTGAGTTTTGGGTCAAGGGGTCAAAGGTTAAGGTCATGACCAGTAGATACTTGATAACCCTTATTAATTGTTTGATCACTGGGTCAGAAGTCATGCATAATAACCTTATTACATGACTTATTGGCTGCTGATAGGGGGCATACATGTTTTACAAACATATCTTGTTTATGTAAAGTTTATGATTGATTAAGGTCAGAAATCCTTATGTATTCACTACATGTTTCTGTATATTAATGATTTTCGTATGTAGATTTTATATGAGATTTCAATATGGCCGCCATTGAAATCCAAGATTTCAGATTCAGAAATCCGGCCGTCTGTCCATTGGAGGATTTCCGGATTTCTGTTGTTTCATTGGTGGATTTCAAACATCGAACCTTATAAAAGTCGGAATCCAACCAATGTTGTCACTTCGGTCTTGACCTCCAAGTAATGTAAATGAAGTTTTAAAACCGCCAAATTTCAAATACAGCAAACATTCTTACAAACGACATTGTTATCCAAACTTATAAGTTGGTGTGTGATTACAAACTTGCGTGTGAGGTTTTGATTGTGGCGCAGTCAGTTGTTTGCCGAGAAGCCTTGAAAACTGTGTATTGCCCCCTTAAGAGCAAAATTTGATTTTTTGTGTGTGATTACAGACTTGTGTGTGAGGTTTTGATTTAGGCGCAGTCAGTTGTTTGCCGAGAAGCCTTGAAAACTGTGTATTGCCCCCTTACATTACATACAAAACAGGCGCCAACCCCGTGAATTAATTGAATGTGATCATTGTAAATAGAAGATTTCTCACATCATGTGTAATGCATGTTAGTTTTATGGTATTAACGTAATGTTTATATGTCAAGGGAAGTGACGTTATGTTTATTTGTCAAGGGAAGTGACATGAAGTTTATATGTCAAGGAGAGTGACGTTATGTTTAAATATGTCAAGGAGAGTGACTTCATGTTTATGTTTAAAAGACAGTGACGTTATGTTTATAGAGTGTGATTGGAGCACCACACTAAATACCGTATTCCGGTACATACCGGACAAGACGCTTGAATCATAAAATTCTAAAATCTTGCCTTTATACCCGACGGAATGAACTGAAATATGTCTAATTCATCTTTTCACGCCGATTTATGTATAAATAATGAATGAAAAATGTAAAAATCGGCGAAAAGAACGATATTTGTCTATTTTGTGATCATGATTTCTGCAAGCGTCTATAGGTACTGCTCCAATCCTGTATCATGTTTATATGTCAATGAGAGTGACATACTGTTTATATGTCAATGAGTGACATAATTGACCCTGTCTACCATAGCATAGACTATGGTTTTTAATAGGATGTTTATTATAATTCACAGAAATGAAGCTGGATAGTAATAAAATGTAAAACATATTTGGCTTAACAGCCATGATTTTACAGAATGCCATATGTTGTCATAGTCACGACATCCTGAGCACTCAACAAAATTTTAGATCGCAGGATAAAGCTATGGTTTTGAGCTTAATCTTAACGTCATTTCCGCAAAATTTGAACGTTTTATGCATGTTGTTGCTTGCAGTAAAATAAAGTTATGACGTTAAAAAGTTAATTTGAAATACGCGCTGACATTAAATGTTTTACAGATATTTACCAGGTTTTGATCTTACACGTGGCATTTTACGCCAGGACAGTATGTCCGTTCATAATATCAATTCAACAATGCTGGAAATCAGTCTTCTAGAAAAAAACTTCAAAACGTCTAGTGAATCCTCTTTATATAGCCCTGACATTGTCCCAATGGGCTTTCGGTATTTGTGGGACGGCTATCTAGCTTATTCAGTCCATGACCTCAAAATGTTCATTAATTACACGCATAATTGCTTTATTTCGTGAGTGATGATACAAGAAAACTTTCGACAAGACTAAGTGGATCTCCAGGCATGAAAAGTATGTCCGTTTGGCTAGCGATTACACCGAAAAGTATGTGTGGCTTTCATTCTTTTACGCTATTTAGACGCAATTTTATGACGGCGTGCTCCGAGGTACGTTGGTATACTGTATTTTAACTACTTTGATTTGCAAAATATTTGATTTATTTATAATTTGTTTTTGTACTGTATCACAAATTATATATTTTGTATAATTATATATAAATGTTTATGTTGTAATTACGTCGTTACTTAGTATACTTGACACAAAGAAAGTCTCTACGAATTTATCATACATCCATCGTATACGAGCTTCACCTTTTACGTCAGTACATGTGTACTTAGAAACACGTACGTATCAACATACTATGAAATGCAGTGACAAATACTAAGAATTACACTGAAGTGTTCAGATTTCTTTGAAGATATAATGTTTACATTACATAAGTACCTCAAGTATCAAGCGTTTCATATATGTACACTTTTTTAAAGGCACATTATGTCTCAGAAATACATATGTTTTAATTAATTGGAAATGTCAAACATATGTGTTTAATAATGTTTAGAGCATGTTAGATGTTGTACAACTTCAAAAAATGCGCTAAACATGCTAAACACTGTACTGAATGTAGTATTTTGACTTCCATGCAAAACACCAATTCATTATAATTATACCAATTGTAAACAGAAGATAGTTCATATAATTATATAGCAAATGAGTATGTTTTAGGAAACTGTAGCAGGATACCAAAAAAAACAACAGTTTTTAAGAAATAGAAATGATAGCATATCTGAGGCATAATGGGCATTAAAATTACATTATGCACGCTTACTTTATAAAACATATCTGTAGATTTATTTCAAATTGTTTAAAACAGGACTTTAAAAATGATCTTATGTCATATTTTTTCCTCATTCTCAGAACAGGCTCTACTAATGTAGTATAGTCGATCGAAATAATTATGTACAATTGTGTACAATTAAAAGACGGTTATACGTAAAGGTTTGACTGTAAAATGAAATGGTTGGTGGATAAGTTTATCCTTCTTTTACACCTGGAAGGTGATTAGGAAGAAATCGGGGTAGATTTATCAAACATGAAATGTGCGTTTATTTCTTTACTTAGTGTACTATTTATAACAATTTTTAGGCCAAGAGTGATGAATAATTTGTTAACAAGCCACAGATTAACTCTGTTTTAAACGTGTGAAACATTTATTACAAAGTTTTTTTGGAGGAGAGGTTGAACACCACTAATTGACTCCTGGAATCCGCTATTTCCTGTATTTTTTCTTGGGATATTTCAGAAACTACATATTTCTTTCTCTGTGTATCCAATCTTATAGGAGAGGACATTCATAACTGGGAGAGAACATTCATAAGCTTTATAGCTTTCTGCCCAATCCCAAAATGTACTTTGTAAATATTGTTCACTTGTTAAATGTTTTGTTGAATAAATATGTTTAAACCAATCTTAGAAACACAGTTAATGTCTTAATTACAATATCGCAAAACATTTTGAAAAAGTTCAAACCATTGGTTGCTATAGTCTTTACTTTTTGATACTGAATGAAAATAACATTACTACTTTATGAATTAATTTTACATGTTTTAGATTAAGGAAATATTTTTTCCCAGAACATTAGCAGTTCATAGAAATTCACGATTCTTGTTATTGTTGATTGATTATAAACATTGTTTGACTGCTTTGCGAATTACATTAACTAACCTTGATTGTAACAGATTAGTGCCTTTGTACTACCTGTGGATTCAAATTAGGAATAATTTTGGCAAATATATATATAGAAAAACAGGTATTTAAAAGCGCACAACTTTTCTCATCCTTCCATATCTATGTATAGCAGATAATGCAATGTTTAAGAAAAAACTATTATTATTATTCATATACATGTAGCATGTTCATACTAAATCACATAGAATTTTATCAACATTATACAATCAAGAATTATTTCTTAACACTATCCAGACAATACATTTTTTTAACATTTTTTTTTATCAATATTTGAAAGAAAAAAAATATGGAAAATCCA